CCGCCTCGCGCTCCAGGTACTGCACAGCTTCGTGGCGCAGGTGCAGCTCCTGGGTGTCTCCGTCGCGGTACCGCACGCTGTGCTTCTTGGACTTGGGGTCAAAGGAGGTGACCTGGGGGCGGCGCGGGAGGGGCAGGCGGGGCGAGGGGGTGGGGTGGGCGCGCAATGGTGCAGGAGGGGAGCAGGCGCGGCGCCCGGGGCGGAGCTGGAAGGCCAGGAGGCGAGGGCCGGGCCGGGCTGGGCAGCTCTTTCGCGGCGCCGCAGCCGGCAGCCTCCAGCTTTGGTTACACACACATACAGCCCACCGCTCCTCCTCTTCCCTCGCCCCGCCCCCAGGCCCCCCACTCCCCTCCTCACCTTGCCCACATACCACTTGGCCATGCCCGGCCAGAAGACCTTGACCCGCCAGTGCACGGCGTCGTCGCCGCGCGGCGCGCAGGCGTAGGTGGGGTTGGCGGCGGCGCCGGGGGGCGGGTCTGACAGCCACTGGAAGCGGCTGCGCGCCAGGTGCACCCACTCCTCCTGGTGCTTCACCGCGCCCTGCGCCCGCTCCAGGTACCGCACCAGGTGCTGCTGGGTGGCGGGGTTGTACTGCGCGATGCCGGCCTTGGGCCAGTCGCTGAGGCGCGGCGACCACACCGCCACCTGGCGCCCCACCACCTCCCGACCCGCCACCACCACCGCGCCGTCCTCCTTGGCGGCGCCCGCGCCGCTGCTGCGCCCCCGCCGCCCGCTGCCGCCGCTGCCGGCCGACTGCTTGGAGCCCTGCTGCTGCAGCAGGCTGGCCGGCAGCTGGGAGCCGTCCTGCTGCGAGGAAGAGGCGGGCGCCTGCGCCGCGGCGGCAGCAGCCGACCGCTGCTCCGTGCCGCCTGCCGCCGCGCCGTCAGCAGCGGCCGTGCTGGCGGCGGCGGCCTTGGGCTCCGCTGCCTCGCCCGCCGTGTCTGCGGGCGGCGCGCCCTGGCACATGCTGTGCACGCCTAGCTAGCTGCCTGCGGCGGTTCCTGGCTGCAAGTCCTGCACGCAGCAGTGGGCGGCCAGCCGGGTTGGCAGGGAGGCAGGCGGGAGGCAGCAGCGGCAGCTTTGCTGGTTGGCAGTGGGCCAGCCAGTGTGGACAATACTGGGATTGGGATGTGCCAGCTGACAGGCGAGGGCTGCCCAAGAGCAGGCCAGCAAAAACCCAGTGTGCGCACTCAGGCGAGGCCAAGGCAGACTGCACTGAGTGGTGCCCAGCCCACCCACTGCAGCGGTGCATAGGAACCGGGGTGCGGCGGGCAGCGCAAGGGCAGTCGGGGAGCTCGAGGCGCGACCGGCGCCATGAACCCTTGCCTCACGGCATGGCAGCCCTGCCAGGCCATTCCAGCACCTATGCAACACCCCACATGCCCCCACCACCCGCCGACACCCTCCTGCAGCCCCGCGAGACTTGGAGGGCGGCGGGAGCGAGCACAGTGGCAGCAAGCCGGCCCAGAGTCCCACAATACAAAACCGCAACTCACCGTTTGCCACCTGCAGGCTTGCAGCCGCTGATCGAGCCTCCTGGCTCGCTGCGCGCCTTAGACGACGTTCGTTTGAGGGCCTGCGTGCAGGCCACCCGTGCCGACCAACTTCTGCGGTCCAATCGCATGGCCTGCTGCACTGGGTGCCGGAAAAGGGGCTCCGGCGGAGCCCCCGCGGTACGCGATGCGGTACGAGCGCTCTGCGGCTCAACAGGCCGCTTATTCAGTGACCGTTTCATCTTTACTCATCTGTTAGACTTAGAGTAGCGTGTTTGGCTTTCGGTGAGCACCGCCAAGCAGTTCAGCTTTGGCAGTTCATCTCCATCTCTCCACGCAGGCAGTGGCACCGCTTGCAGTCGAGCCCAGTCCAGGTAGGAGGCCAGCGCAGTCTTTGGCCAAGCGCACAAACCCCCTGCGCCGGTGCTGGCGGTGGGAGGGCGGCGCCGCCAACCTGCCAACCACCGCCGTGGCATGCCCAGATGCGGCCCAGCTGGTGCCGGCGGTGGCGTGACCTGCCAGGCCTCCCGACGCTGCCTGGCATTTTCAGACCTGCAAATAGCTCTTTGGCGCTGCCGGGGCGGCAGGGACCCGCGTGCTGCCACCCTGTCCCGCCACCCACTGCACCTGCCGCTGCCGCCGGTTTTCCCTCGCAGCAGCCAGTATGGAAGCGCTGCGCCCGGTGCTGGAGAAGTGCGGCCAGCAGCACCTGCTGGAGGGCTACGAGGAGCTGCCCGCGGAGCAGCAGGCAGAGCTGCTGCACCAGCTGGAGGTGCGGGCGGCAGCGGGAGCAGGGGCAGCCTGCCCGCCTCCTCTCCCTACCACCACCCACCCCTGCCCCTCACCATCCCCGCTGACCCTCCCACCGCAGGGCATCGACTTCGAGTATGTGAACCACATCTTCACCGCCAGCATGGCCGCCGCCGACATCCCCGCCGCCCCCGCCGCCCCCGTGAGCGACGTCACCACCCTCAAGTCGTCCACGCGGGAGCAGCGCGACGGGTGGCGCGCCCACGGCCTGCGCCTGATTGCGGAGGGCAAGCTGGCGGTGCTGCTGCTGGCGGGCGGGCAGGGCACGCGGCTGGGCAGCGCCGCGCCCAAGGGCTGTTACAACATCGGCCTCCCCTCCAAGAAGAGCCTGTTCCAGCTGCAGGCGGAGCGCCTGCTGCGCCTGCAGGCGCTGGCCGCACAGCAGGCCGGCGCGGGCACGCCAGAGTGAGCGGGCAGCGCGGCGGCGGGGAGTGAGGAGAGGGGTTTGCGCTCTGCCTCCTGCCCCCGCCTCTCTCTTTTTCCCTCACGCCAGCCGTGATTGGCCACGCCCTATCGCACCCCGTACCACCCCCACACCCCCACCCCGCCGCCGCACCCCTCCTGCCCGCGCTGCCGCAGGCGCCCGCTGCGCTGGTACATCATGACCAGCCCCGCCACCGACGCCGCCACGCGCAAGCACTTCCGCGACCACGCCTTCTTCGGCCTGCGGGAGGCGCAGGTGGCGTTCTTCAGCCAGGGCGCGCTGCCCGCGCTGACGGAGCAGGGGCGCATCATCCGGGAGAGCGCCTGCCGCCTGTCCATGGCGCCAGACGGCAACGGCGGCGTGTACATGGCGCTGCGCGCGGCGGGCGTGCTGGCTGACATGGCGGCGCACGGCGTGGAGGCGGTGGACTGCTACTGCGTGGACAATGCGCTGGTGCGGCTGGGGGACCCGCTGTTCACCGGCTTCTGCCACTCGCGCGGCGTGCAGTGCGGTGAGTGCCTGGGGCGCGGGTGGTGGTGGTGGTGGCGGGTGGCAGAGACTGCTGGGGCTGGGTGGCGGGTGGCGTGGCAGCACCTGGCGTGCCGCGGCCCTGCCACCCCCCGCGCGCCACATGCGCCTGCCCTGGCCCCTGCCCTGCACCCCCGCACCCTCCGGCAAGCCGCCGTGTCGCCGCTGCCGCCCACCTCGGGCACCTCCCGCCCCCCCGCCTGCCCGCAGGCGCGCGCGTGGTGGCCAAGGCGTATCCGGAGGAGAAGGTGGGGGTGTTTGCGCGGCGCAACGGCGCGCTGGAGGTGGTGGAGTACTCGGGTGAGGCCCTTGCCCCTCCCTTTGCGGGGGTGGGAGGGGGTGGTACTGTGGGGCCAGGCTGGCAGGGCTCGCACGCGGGGAGGCAGGCCGCGCTGGCTGGGGTGCCGCACTGGGCGGCCTGCGCCCGCGGGAGCGGCGGCACGGGGCGCCCCTTTTCTGAGGCCGGCACGCTGCGCGCCAGCACCTAGCCGCGCTTGAGCGCTCCCCGCCCGCCCTGCGCCCCCGCCCCCCTCAGAGCTGGATCCGGCTGAGGCGAGCGCCTCTGACCCCGCCACCGGCGAGCTCAAGTACGGCTGGTCCAACATCTGCCTGCACTACTTCCGCCGCGACTGGCTGGAGGGGGTGAGCGACAAGCTGGCGGAGATGGGGCGGTACCACGTGGCCCGCAAGAAGATACCCTCTCTGGACGGCCCCGTGGCGGTGAGGCGGCAGGGCGCTGGGAGGGGTGCTGGGGGAGCGGGTGGGGATGCGTGTGTGTGCAGGAGGCGGGCGGCTGGTTTAAATGTAGGACCCTGGCTTGGGCACGGGAATGAGGGCAGGGAGGGTACCTGCCCCAGCTCTGCGCGTGCGCCGCCCGAGCTTGGCCCGCGTGCCCGCCCGCCTCCCCGCCTCGCCCCCGCTCCCCGCAGGGCGTCAAGCTGGAGCTCTTCATCTTCGACACCTTCCCGCTGGCCGCCTCCACCGCCCTGTTTGAGGTGCGGCGGGAGGAGGAGTTTGCGCCGGTCAAGAACGCGCCGGGGCAGGGCCTGGCCGACAGCCCCGACACGGCGCGGGACGCCATCCTGGCGCTGCACAAGGGGTGAGCCCGGCTGTGCTGTGCGCGTGTGTGCACAGGTGGGGGTCTTGTTCTGAGGGAGCGTGCAGCCAGCGGCGTGTGAGGCAGCGGCAGGGTCGAGCAGGTGCCTGTGCGGGGAGGCGGGGGTGGCCTGCCACCCGCCCTGCCTGAGCTGCCGTGCCCGTGCCTGCCGCGGCCGCTCGCAGGTGGGTGGAGGCGGCGGGCGGGCAGGTGACGAGCAGCGAGGGGGTGGAGGTGTCGCCGCTGGTCAGCTATGCGGGCGAGGGGCTGGAGGAGCTGTGCGGCGGCAAGGCCTTTGCGTCCTCCTACGACATGCACCTGCAGGCAGGTGCTGGCGCCTGCGCATGCCGCCGCCACGCCTGCCGCCACGCTCTGCTTGCGCTTGCGCGACCGCTCCCCCCCTGCCTGCTGCCTCGCGCCTGTGTGGGGCCAGGCGTGACGATGCCTCTGCTGCACTGCCTGCCTGCTCCTGTTCGCCCCGCAGGGGTTCCTCCAGTTTGCGCCTAAGTCCGCCGTCGGCAAGCTGCTCAAAAGCGGCGCCGACGGCGCGGCAGAGTACTCGTCGCCCAGGCCAGTGCCCAAGGGCGGCGGCCCCGCGGGTCCCCGCATCGTGGCCAACTGCAGCCGCACGTTTCGCGCGCAGTAGGGCGCTGTCGCCTGGGGCGACGGCCGCACCGGCAACGGCGCACGTCGGGCGGCGTGGCGGCCGCACAGCTCTGGCCACCCGCTTTTAATCTCATGTTTTGAATGGCAGGCGTAGGCAGACCCTAAATAATCGCACGGCAGCAGGTTTGGGCACGGGACTTGGCCTTTTGGAACCTAGATTAGCTAGCATTGCTTTGAGTCCTGTGGGAGTGCCACACTTTGAACTGCTTTTGTTCGGATTTGCGATTCGGCTCCAATGTGAGGCATCGCAGCAGATGACATGTAACGCAAACGGGTCGGAAAACAGGCGGGAAACAGGCGGAGAGGGGAGCAGGAAGCAGTGTGTGCGTATGCGGTTGGGGGGCTGCTACTCGCTGTCCGACGGCGCTGCCACCTCCCCTCCCGCTGCTGCCTCTTCCGAGCTGGCTGCTGCTGCCGCGGCGGGTGCGTCGCTGTACGAAACCTTGACCATGGCAGGCCTGAGCAGCTTGTCGCCGATGACAAAGCCCTTGCGGAACTCCTCCAGCACCGTGCCGTCGGGCACATCCTCGCTCGCCTCCCGCATGATGGCGTCGTGCAGGTTGGGGTCAAAGGGGGAGCCCACGCCTGGCGGGCACGGGGGCGGGAGCGCGCGTGCGTGGTGAGGGTGTGGGAGAGGCGAGGAAGGGGGCGGTGCATGCAGCACGGGCAAGGGAGGCTGCGGGTGCGTGTGCAGCGCAGCCGGCACGCGGCGCCGCGCCCACCTGGCACCGCCTCCAGGCCCAGCCCCCGGAACAGCTCCACCATCTGCTTGTACAGCCCCTGGTACGCCGCATCCACACGCTTCTCCCCCTCAGTCTCCAGCTTCAGCTGCGCCTTGGCCAGCTCAAAGTTGTCCACCTGGACCCCAGGAGGGGGGGCGGGCGGTGGGGGCCGGGTGTGGGAGAGGAGAGGAGTCGGCGCGGGCGCGAGCCAGCGGGCGGGCGGCAGCGCCCCGTTCCCAGCCCCCGGCGGTGCGCCATCTCCCTGCAGCTGCAGCGGGCCGGCCCTCCGCCCCGCCCGGCCTCACCAGCGGCAGCAGCTCGGCCACGGTGTCGCCCCGCACCGACACCCGCAGCGCATCCTTCTCCCCGGCGGTGCGCTTGCGGAAGTTGTCAAAGTCGGCCTGCAGCCGCAGGAACTTGTCGCGCGTGTCCTGCGGCGCGGCAGGGGTGCAGGCATGCATCGAGGTCGGCCTGGCACAGCACCAGCAGCAGCCTGGCAGCATGTGACGGTGCGCTGCCGTCGCTGCACCCCTCTCTCCCCGCAACACACACCAGCAGCGTCTCCTCCAGCTTCGTGTTCTCCGCCGCTGCCTGCTCCGCCCGCGTGCGCAGCGCCGCCAGCTCAGCCTCCAGCTCCTCCACAAACGTCTCCTGCAGGCGGGGGGAGCACGCGGAGCGCCGCCCGAACCAGTACTTACTGTACTAGCCAGATTGCTGCAGGGCGACTGAGGCGCGCGCGGCTTGCTGGCGGCGGCTCCCCGGTGATCCGCCGCAGGCCCGGCAGCGGGCCCATCTGCTCACGCTGAAAGCTTCGTCCACAAAGTTGGTCTCCACGACTTGCTTGGCGCGCTCAATGAGGGAGTCCGCCATTGGCACCACAGCCTCAGCAGCAGAGCTGGCACCGTCTGCCGTCTCCACACTGCCCTCCTGCAGCATCGCCATCAACCAATTGAGAGCTGCCTCGGCCTCAATGCGTGGCGGCCACAGCAGCGAAGTTGCTAGAGCCGCTCACCTGGGCTGCCTGCAGCCTGCGCAGCGGCTGCACCCCGGGGAAACCCACGGCCCTGCTCCTGCTGGCTGCAGGGGCACGTCGTTGCGCCCGTCGGGCTGCAGGGCAGATAGCAGCAACATGAAGAGAAAGCTGCATGGCGGCAGGGAGCCTCGTGGCAGGCGACGGATCCAAGGTGATGTGATGGATGAAGGTTGTGGGCCACGGATGGTGATTTCACCATCCAGGCTAGACGCCAGCTAGATGGCCAGCGAGGCAGGGTGCCAGGGATACCCTCCAGCTTTCCCAAGGCATTTGCAAACATTGTTCAGGGTGTTTAACAACATTGCATAGAGGCCCTAGACGTGCAAGGTACGCAACGAGCACTGCCAGCCCCTACCTTCCCTGCAGTGCCTTGACCGTGCTGTCTGCTGTGGCTGTGGGACTCTGTGCACTTCACGGGTTGGTTTCTGGCTGGCGCGGGGCGTGGTTCTCGAGTTTGGCAACCTCGCCGCCCCCTCTCGACGTGCTGCAGGCTCTGCAGCTCCCCAGCAAGTAGGGCACCCTGCTCGCAAGACCTCGCGGGCCTTGGGCAACCCTGCCAACCAACCTGCCCGCTGGCCATGGTTGTGGCCGCAACGCCAGCAGCCAAGCGAGCAAGGCGTTGCCCCCAGCAGGTTGTGCAGCTGTCCACGCCGCAGGACAGCTCCAGGTCGCGGCAGGGCAGCACCAGGAACTGGAAGGTGGGCCTCACCCCCTTGCCCGCCGCTGCCCCGCCGCCGCCGCGCGCGTTGCAAACTGGCGAAGCCCCTCTCTTTAATACCCTCGCACTCTACCCTTCCTGCTGAAACCTGCCCTCGGGCAGGAAAGTACGCGTTGTCTTGCATACTGCTATCAAACGTGCTGGTTGCGAACTGTCCCGCCGCCTTCTCGCTGACAGCTTGCATCTTGTGCGGCTTGGTGCAGGTGCTGGTGAGTCAGCTGGGCCTGACTCCGTCACAGCTCTTCGCCGAGGCAAAGTACAACGTGGCCCTGCTGGCGCAGCAGCACCGCCTCGACATCGATGACCGGCTGCTCGCCAACCTGGAGCGCATGTGGGGCGCCGCCGTGCAGCTGGGGGTGGCCGACCCAGCAGGGCCCATCACCAAGGAGGTGCTGCTTGCCGTCCTGGAGTGGGGGGAGCAGGCCTGCCGCTTCCAGCAGGCAGCCTTCGCAGCGGGCTTGCAGCCGACCGCCATGCCGCTGCGCCCGTCGCAGCCGCCAGCCGTCCCCCCGACTCGTCCCCAGATGACGGCAAGGCCCCAGCCAGCAGCACAAGGGCAGGCGGCAGGCAGGCCAGTGATGTTCTTGCAGCAGGGCGTGGTGCACCAGCAGCAGCGTCAGGCGCAGAAAGGGCTTCAGCGGCAGTCATCACAGCTGTCAGCGCTTACGCAGCCGCAACCGCAGCAGCCGCAGCAGCAGCCACCGCCACAATTGCGGCAGTCCCAGCAGCAAGTGGCACCGCAACTGCTGCAGCAGCAGCACCACCACCAGCAGCGCTCCGCTGTGTTGATGCAACTGCTGGCGTCAAGGCGTTTCCCTGCGGGCGCCCATCCCCTGCTGCCCAGGCTGTGCCTGGTGCTGAACGGCTTTGAGCAGCTCACGTCCGCCGTGCGGCTGCCGCCAGACATGCGCCTTGACGCTCTCGTCTCCGCCGCGGTGTGGCTGCTCCAGCTGGGGCCCGCGGAGCAGGCTGTGCTGGCAGAGCGCACAGACGACGTGTGCCGGGTGAGTCCACGCTCCCTGGGCTGCTCTGCACGGCTGCCAAGCCCGCTGCTGCTGCTGCTGTGCTTTCATGTACTGGCCTGACAGCCGCGGCCCTACCCATCCCTGCCATGCCTACTCGCAGCTGCTGGGGGCGGTGTCCCTGGCGCTGCAGCAGGAGCACCTGTGCCGGGAGCGGCTGGCAGCCATCCTGCACCAGGCTTCCACCCTGTCCAAGCTGCTCGCCCAGCATGTGCCAGCAAATGGCGCAGGCGGCCAGCAGCTGGACAGTGCAGAGCTGGAGCACATCGGCGCGATCCAAGCGCAGCTGGTGCAGAGCTGCTGGGAGCACCACAAGCAGCAGCAGCAGCAGCAGCGAGGCGGCCAGCACCATGGCCAGTCTCAGCCGCCGCCGGCCACCCCCAAGCAGACGGGTGTGGCAGGCATGGTCGTTCTGCCAGCCGGAGACACAGCCTCGCTGCCCACCTGTGCAGCAGGCAGCAAGCCCGTGGGCGAGGAGGCGCAGGAGGCGGATGATGCAACAAAGCAGCCCTGCGACGGCGGCTTGGAGCCCATCTTCCTCACCATGGCAGTGTCTGCCAACGAAGCCCGCCTGCTGAAGGTCCTGCGTGGCAACCCTGGTATCGCGCCGCAGGTGGTAGCATTCCTCAAGGAGCAGCAGGCTGCTGGACTGCTGCCCTCGCCAGCGCCCGACGCAGCAATCCTTGACCCCAAGAAGCACCAGGCCGCTGCTGCACCCATCGCGGCAGCAGGCAGCGGGGGTGAGAGCATGGGCGCAGAAGCAGCAGCAGCAACAGCGGATGGCGCAAGGTCCAAGTCGCCATCTGCAGATGCGGATGGTGGGAAGCCCGACTGGATGCTTCATGCCGAGGCCACACTGTTGAGACTGAGGGAGGTGCTGGCTGTCAGTTCAGCGGCAGAATGAAGTCTGTCTTGCTTAGAATCAAATGCTACCCGCATCTGTCATTCTGTAAAGCTTGCACAGAACAGGCAGCTTTTTATGCAGCTGCGCACTGATCTGTGCATCCCAGGTCACCGACCGCGGTCAACGCCACGCTGGGGCATGCTGAGAGTGATAGGGCGGGCAGCTGGAGGTGGGCCGCATCATTCATCTCTTTCCACCAAACGCCCTTCACCTGGTGGTGGTGCGCAAAGTCCAGAGCACCAAAGTGTACACACTCCACAACCCAGACATGGCGAGTGAAGCCACCTCGCAGGCTGGGGCGGACGACGTGTGGTACCGTCAGGTGCGCCTGATGTAGCGAGAGATGGCCGCCAGATGCATGTGCGGCAGGCAGGCCCCCGCAGCGGCGAGCGCCCCGGTGCCGCCCCCAGGTGCACCCTCACCGACCCGTCTGCCCCTCCGGTTGCCTATCCCGAGCTCGCCTGCCTGCAGTATAGAGACGCGACAGATCTACCATTGGTGGGCGGGGCGCCAAGCCATGCGCACAAGCTCTCCACAGCCTGAACTGCTCGCCAGCTGCCAGTCACCGCCGCCTGCTGCCAACCATCCACCACCCTCTGTTGCTGCGCAGGTGATGGGGCTCATAGACAATGAGCTGTCCGAGCCCTACAGCATCTTCACATACAGGTGGATAATGTGGCCTGCAGTGACGCCCGGGGGGATGGCAGCGGCCTGCCATGCCTGCCCTGCTGAGCAGTGTGTCATTGCCCCGTTGCCCCGCCTGGCCCCGCCTCTGCCCTGCAGGTACTTCCTGCACAACTGGCCCCACCTGTGCTTCCTGGTGTTCAAGGGGGACCGCTGCTTCGGCACAGTGGTGGCCAAGATGGATGTGCACCGCGACAAGGCGCTGCGCGGCTACATCGCCATGGTGACGGTGCAGCAGGAGTTTCGGTACCTGGGAGTGGGTGAGCGTGAGGCGGGGCGGGCGGGGGCGCGTCCTGTCTTGGGCATGGGCATGGGCACGGCTGAAGCTGGAGCGGGGGGAGTGGTCAGCAGGGCATGTGGGTGTGCGGGCAGATGTGCGCGGTGTGTGCATGCGCCAGTTGGGCGCCAGCCTTTGTTGTCCCTCGTCCCCGACGCCGCCTCGCCCTTGTTGCGCAGGCAGTGAGCTGGTGCAGCGCACGATATTTGCCATGGTGGCGGGTGGGTGCGAGGAGGTTGCGCTGGAGGCGGAGGTGACCAACAGCGGCGCGCTGCGTCTGTACCAGAAGCTGGGGTTCATCCGGGACAAGCGCCTGCACAAGTACTACCTGAGCGGCAGTGACGCCTACCGCCTGAAGCTGCTGCTGCCTGCGACAGCGGAGCGGCGGCGGCAGGAGCTCGAGGCGGCGCAGCAGCTGCAGCAGCTGGGGCTGGAGTCCCAGGAAGGGCTGGAGCAGCAGGAGATGCAGCAGCCTGCGCCGCCGCCGCTGCAGCAGCAGCAACATGGGGAACACGACCATCAGGCGGCCGCCTAGCACTCAATGTCACATCTCTTGTTACAGTTGGAGTGGAATGATGGGCAGTGTGCCAGATGCAGCAGTGCTGGTGGCTACTGCCTTGTGAGCGCCCATGCAGCCCAGAGAGCTGGCGGCCCAAACACAAACGCCAGGGCGGCGATTCCATTTGGCATGAATGGGAAGGCAACCAGCAGGGATCCATATTTAATCATGCCACCAAGTGCCAGCGAAACTGCGGATAACTTCAACAAGAACTCGATGTCGCTGCTGCTCGGTGCCGCCTCCACCGGTGGCGGCGGCGGCCGCGTGGCAGCGGGTTCAGGCTCAGGGCTGCTCTGCCCATTGGCGCTCGCGGCTCTTCCTGGAGAGCTGCTGGTGCCTGCTGCCCTGCGGCGTGGAGCTGCTGCCAGCCAGTGCGGCGACGAGACTGCACGCAACGAAAACAGCGCAAGCTCAGAGGTTACCGGCAATTATAATGGCATCGCAATGTGCAGGGATCAAAAGGGCTGGCGTCAGAACAACCTGGGGCTCGGAGGTAGGGCTGTAGTCTGCAAGCGGCACAAGCAGGTCCAGCCACAACCATGGTCATAGCAGCAGCAAAAAAGCAGCAGGTTGCAACGAGCAGAGATCGCCTGGGTGCAGAGGCGCGCATTTAGCGTGGTGGTGAGTGGGTGCCGCTACACCATGATGAGTGGCGGGCCCCGCACAGGTGCATGGGTCTCTCCCCCACATCGCCCTCAAACACGGGACTCACGGCACTCAAGTGTCCTCAAACAAAAAGGGAAAGTGATCTGCTTCTTAACGACCATCCAGGGGCTGATGTTTGCTGAATGTACATGAAAAAACGCAGGCAAGGCGGAGCAGTAGTACAGCGAGGCAGCTCACACCGCCTCGCGCTGGCACACGGGGCACGAGTTGCGTTCGGAGAGCAGCCAGCGGTCGATGCAGCGGCAGTGGAAGGCGTGGCGGCAGGGCAGCACCTTGAACTCGTCGCCCGGCCGCGCCTCCTCCAGGCAGATGGAGCACGCGTCCAGCTCGGGGCTGCCGGCGCAGGCTGCCTCCGCCCCGCGCCCCGCCAGAGGCACGCGCACCGTGTCCAGCTGGCTCACGCGGTCGCGCGGCGCCACCTTCTTCTTGTTGCCCTGATCCAGCGCCAGCAGCTGCTCGTAGTCTGCCTCGGTGAAGTCGCGGCCGCTGCAGGCAGAGGGAGGCAACACGGGCAAGGCCAGGGGCGGGCACGTGAACGGGGCAGAGGGCAAGAGAGGGGTTGTGCAATGGGTGGGTGGTGTCGGCACGAAGGCTGGCAGGACTGCCACCCCAGGACAAGAAGCCAGCAGTGAGCGGCACAGCGCTGGCTGCAGCATGGCGCAGCTGCGTGCCGGCCCACCTGAGCAGCAGGTCTGCCGGCAGGCCGCGAGACAGGCCCACCATCAGGTGGGAGTGCAGGTCGCCCATGTAGCCGGCGCTGCGCCCGCCATGCCCGCCCGCGTGGTAGGGCGGCGGCATGAGGTGGCCCATGGCGCTGGCAAACTCGGCCTCCGCTGCGGGGCCGCGCCGGCCGCGCTGGCTGCGCTGGCCCTGGCTGGCCGCACGGGGCGGGGCCTGGCCTCCTGCACTGGCGGCTGCCGCCGCTGCGCTGCTGCTGCGCTGGCGCTGAGCGGCAGCCCCGCCGCCGAGGCCGCCAAACAAGCCGCTGAAGAAGCCGCGGCCGCTCCAGCCACGCTCCGACGCGGCGGCTGCCTCCTCCGCCTCGGCCGCCGCCTCGGCCGCCTCCAGCTCACGGAAGCGGCGCTGCAGGCGCGACTCGGCGTCCACGGCCGCTGCCGCACGCCTGTCCTCCTCCTCCTGCACGTGGTGAGCAGAAAACATATCACAGTGAGGCATTCATGCAAATCCCAGGCCTCAGCAGGTCACCCACCTGCAGACGCTTAGCCAGCCTGAAGTCGTCAGCCTCCTCCTGGGGCGAGCGCTGCCGCTGCTGCTGACGCATTGCTGGGCCCATCGGGGAGGCTACTGCCGGGCGCCCCGGCTGCCTAGATGGGCGCTGGTGCAGGCGTGGACTGTCCGGCGAGCTACGGTTGGGCGCGTTGCCGGCTGCTGCCGCAGCACCCCCGCCCCTGCACTGGCCCGCTGCTACGGCGCCGCTGCTCGGCTGTGCGCCAGCCGCTCCAACCTGCTCCGCACGATCCATATCTGCGGGGAAGGGAGCGAGGAGGAGGTGAGTGGCCGTGCGAAACCTCCAGCGGTCGCGGTCGGGCGCAGCAGGCCCCAGAACCACCTGCGCCGCCTTCGGGCCTCCCCTCCGTCAGGTCGACATACTGTGGCAGGGAGGGCGGCGCAAAGGGGGCCAGCCTCCTTCGCTTGGAGGCAGGCCCGCTCCTTGGCGAGCAAAGATCCACCACTGCGTCATCTTGATCCATGGTGGAAGAACAGGAAGAAGAAGAAGTGACACAGGGAGTGGTGATCACACAATGCGCCGCCGCACCGCCCTGCCACAGCATGCCCGGTCGTCGGAAGTGCACTGCCGGTGGGTGAACGGCTGAAGCACCATCACCCCGCGCCAGAGGCGTTCCTGGATGGCCTGGTGCACCCCACAGTTGCTCGTGGTGGCGGTGGTGCGTACCAGGCCCGCAGAAGCGCTCAGCAACTAAAAGCAAGCAGGGAATGGTGGCAGGCGCAGAGCAGAACATGCAATTGGCAGCAACCGAACGCACCAGCACTGTGCAAGACAAGCAAACAGAGAACTGCCGATGCAGGTCACATGATGGCACAGTCGGCATGGTGTCGCCGGCCCTCTACGTCCTCGTCATCCTCGTCCTCCTCCTCCCCTTCCTCGCTGTCACTGCTGTGCATGGCCTCCAGCTGCCTGGACCGCAGCAGCAGCTGCAGCATCTCCGGGCTGATGAACATGCGCCGCTCCTCGCCCTGCGCCGCCTGGTTGGCAGCCATGCGCCGCTCCGCAGCGGCACCCAGCACCTGTGGCACGGCATGGCGTGGGGTGGCAGGTGGCTGGGAGGCAGGGCTTCAAGCTGATACCCTGCAATGCCTGCGGCCTCTGGGTAAGAGGTCGCACACGCCGTTGCTGCAACAACATCCCTTTCCCACGACTGTCACACCACCCCTACGGGCGGCCCCCCTCTTCACCTGCGGCTCCTCCGCGGTGGGGGCCCACAGCTTGATGCTGTCCTCAATGCCGCTGGTGGCCATGGTCAGCAGGTGCTGCGGGTGCGGCTCCAGGCAGTTGACTGTATCGGCGTCACCCTGCAGGCCGCGCACGCACATGGGTTGGGGCTTGGGGCAGGGGAGCACCATCCTTCCCGCTTGGTTCTCCTCCTTCCATGCGCTCCTGCTCCCTTGCTCTTGACGCACCTTGAGCACCGCCTGCACCACCCCCGAATCCCTCTCCCACACATAAATGTGCCCGCAGTCTGAGCCGCTCATGACAAACTCATCGTCCCGCCCCAGGAAGCTGACGCCCTGCACAGGCAGGCACCGACGCAGGGGTTGGTGCAGACAGGGGAGGGACAGGGATCCCCGGGGCGAGCCCCATGGTGTGGGGGCTTGAAAAGCTGCGAAGCGCCCCGCCGCCTCACCTTGACTGTGCGATAGTTTCGGTGCCCCTTGTAAGTCTGCAGGCCATGAAGGAGGGCGCAGGTCATTCAGGTGTGCACACATCCGTGCAACCAAGCAAGGCTAGGCAGGGCAAGCGGCCCCGCCGCCCCACCTGCAGCACGCTGTCATCGGGGTGCCCGTCTTGCACGTTGCCGCTGGGGGCGCCGCCGCGCTGGCCCGCCCTCGGCGCTGCGTCGGCATCGTCCACCAATGCCCCCTGCACACAGCGAGGCAGCCCAGCGCCCCAACAGTCTCATCTTCCTGGAGCTGAGGGGTTCAGCCACGTGGCCAAGTGGGACGTCGGCAGACCATCCTGCTGCGCATGCACGGGATCGAGGTGGCCTGGTCGTGCCTGCGGCAGCTCCCCCTCATCCTCAAACTCGTCCTCCTCCTCGCTCTCCTCCTCCTCGCTCTCCTCCTCCTCGCTCTCCTCCTCCTCGCTCTCCTCCATCGCAGCATCGAGATCAAACGGCTCTGCCTCTGCGGCAAGCTCCGCATCAATGTTGTCCAGCTCAGACCCGCTGCCACCCCCGCTGCCTCCACCTGCACACAAGAGGCAGCAGCGTCAAATCAAGCTGCTGCCTTGGGAGCTGCAGCAGCCTTGCTGGTCAGGGCTGCGGTTGCTGCGTCAGAGCGGGATGGAGCAGGAGTGTCCCGTCATGGCTGGCTGCATGGCACGCATGGGTGAATCCAGCCACAGCAACTTGTCAACCCATCAACCCACCTGCGTCCTCCTGCTCGCTGCCGCCCTGCTCGCTGCCTCGTGCCTGTCCGCGTCCCCGCTCCAAGCCGACGCCCTCGCCACCCTCCTGCCCATGCCCCCCCTGCTGCTGGCTGCTGCAGCCACCATGGCGGCCTCGCGGCAGCTGGTCAAGCCAAACAGCATCAGGCTGCCTGCTGCCGCCAGGACTGCCGCTGCCGCCTGCTGCCGCATCCGTTGCCACGAGCGGCAGCGGCGGCTGCGCCTCATCCTGGACAGCCACCTCATCATGCAACAGGCCTCGCCGGATGCTTGCATGTGCCTGTGCTGCTGCCGTGGCAGGGGAGGCAGCCTGCTCATACTGCGCCTGTGCCAGGGCTGCTGTCGCTGCCCGCCGCTGCTGGGTGCGGCGCACCCCGGCGTCTGCATCCGCCTGCCGATCCGCATCGCCTCGCTCCGAGCCGCTGCCACCTCCTGCAGTGCCAGCGCCACTGCTGCGCCCCCGCTTGTTGCCCTGCCTGCTGCTGCCACCGCCACGCTCGGCACCGGCACGGCCCGCCGAGGCGCCAGCTGCCGCTCTGCAGTCGCCGCTGCTGGCGTTTGCCCTATCTGCTGCTGCTGCTTGCTGCTGCTGCTGCTCCTCCGCGGCAAACAGGCTGCAGAGGAGTCAGGCAGGCGGGCGGGGTGGGCAGCAAAGAATGAATCAGTGGGGGGCGCACTACTGGCAGGCCATATGCACCAGCGACCGGCACCACAGCCAGCAGCAGCATTTCAGCAGCAGCAGGCTGCCCCTCACTAGATGTTCTCGTCGTTGTAAGAAGCCAGAAGCTGCCCGCCCTGGCTGAACACGGCACAGGTGACGGTGATGAGGGAGTGGCGGCCCCGCAGGTGCCAGGGAGCCAGGCGGTGCAGCGGCTCTGCCAGGGGGTCGCCAGAGGGGGCCACCCGCCTCAGGTCGAAGATCCTGCACAGCGCAGCACAGCGCAGCACAGCGCAGGCAGCATATCACCGCCTGACACCCTCGCCCCCCCCCCATAGGACCCAAGAACATGCACCGTGCAGCCAGCCGGCGGCGCACCTGACAAAGGGGTCGCCGCCCGCCACGCAGAACTGGGTGGTGCCCAGGCGGCAGTGCACGCTGTTGAGCTCCAGCCGGCCGCGCTGGGTGCGGCAGGCCAGCAGGCGGCGGTTGGCGGCGGCAGGGTGGCGCAGGTCAAAGTGTCGCACCTCGCCGTCTGCGGCCGGGCAGGGGAGGGCGAGCCGGGCAGCGCGAAGGTCAGCAGCCACTTACGCAGGTATGCTGCGACCAGCAGAGCATGCGACAACACATGGCGGCTGGCGGGCAAGCAGCAGAATCGACGCATGGCAGGCAGCTGGGTGAGTGCTGGCTGGCAGGAGGGGTTTGAGGTGGTCCCGCCTCACCCTCGCCTGCGCAGGGTGACGCAGCGGTGAGGGCGACTTTGTCACGGCGGGTTGCCCAACAGCACTTGTGGTTTTGTCCGCAGCAGCGCCGGTGCGAGGCACGTTGGCGCGCTTATGCCCGCCTGCTGCTGCAGCCGGAACTCACCGCAGGACAGGAAGCAGTGCGGGCTGCCTGGCTCCAGCGCTAGCTTGTGGGCTCGCCCGCGGTGGCACGCCAGCCGCCGCGTCCCCACCGCGGCGCCGCCGCTGCCTTGCTGCACAGTGGCCACTCGCACCAGGCCGTCGGCGGCGCACGTGACCACGGTGCTGTTGGCAGAGTGCGGCATGATGCGGGCCTGAAAGACGTTGTTGTGGTGTCCCGAGTGGAAGGCCAGCGTGCGCGTGCCCAGCTGCCAGTCCCAGAAGAAAATCTGCATGTCATCGCTGCCGCTGACCAGCAGCTGGCCGTCGGGCGAGAAGTGCACGGTGTTGACGCAGCCTGCGGCGCCAGGGGCAGCACTGCATCGAGCCTGCACCAAGCACAGCGGCAGCAGGCGGCCAAGGACCCCACGAAGGCGGTCGGGCACGGCAGGGCGAGCGCAGGCCGGAAGGCTGCCTGGCCCCACCGTCGTGCCCTTCCAACGTCCTCTCCAGACGCAGCCGCTTCACCAGAGTGCTGGACCAGCCTGCAGCAGCATAGCAGAGAGCCCTCAGTACGGGTGTGGGGACCGCCACCGGGTGCGCGCCGCCAGACCCCACACCGCCACTCCCTGCTGAGGGCTGCTGCCGGGACCCTCCCAACCCTGGTGCTTTCCACAGGTGATGGGTGAACTACTATGGCGGCCTCCCGACAAGCGCCCACCTGGGGGCGGGTTCTGCACCCCTGGCCCCTGCCCAATTTGCTGCTGACGCAATCTGCCCAACATCGCCATCTGCTCCCATCGCCCAAATTCTGTCGTTCCGTGTCCCCAGACGCTCTTTTGTCGATATGCCAGGTCAGCAATGCAATTCTCTGGCAGAGGAGTCCTTAGCTCTAGCAGATCTGCCTCCTTAGCTGCGATTGAGCAGTGACAAAGACACCAGTGGCCGCTTGGCTGGCTGCCTACACCCAGCAGATGGGGAGCGCACTGCGACCACCTCTTTCGTAAAGTTTAAAGGCGCACTTTCAACCAGAGAAGCAATTGATTGCAGGGAAACTCGCCGGCGGGCCCTCATCCCACTCTCCCACTCCTGACCGCCTCACCGTCCTCGCCACCGCCTGACTGGCGTCCTCATGGACCGCCCCGCAGAAGCCAGCGCCGCCAGCACCATTCCGGACAGCGACGCATGTGTGGCCCACCTGAAAGCCTCTCTAGCACTCGAGCGGCTCAGAACGCTGGCAATCCAGCGGCTGGAGCACGATGTGAGCTGCAGCCGGCCCCCCGCTGCCGTCCAGCGGACTGCCCAGGAGCTTTGCCTCCCGATGCTGAGCGGCAGTACATACCCATGCCTGTGCTGCGCAGGAGCGGCTGCGGCAAAGCATAGAGGAGGCCGTGCTGCACAGCAGGGCTTTCACAACATTTTCTGGGGAGCACAGCAACCGGCACCTGATCGGCAGCCTGCAGGCGGAGCTAGGGTGAGCGCATCTCTGCCGCCTCGCAGCAGTGCCCCTGCGCGCCGCTGCTGCCGCCCGGCGGCTTGCGCTTCTGCCGCTGCCCCTGCGCGTTCCCATTTGACACGCAGGCTCGCCAAATGGCGGTGGACACTGCGTCACCCCTTTTCCCCCTGTTGGTTTGCACGCAGGGCCGACCTGTCGCGTGAAGCGCTGCGAGCACTGTGGCGGGTCCTCACCGAAGCTGAGGGCGGCATGTCGAGCCAGATAGACGATGCCATCCGTGCTGCGCTGTGCCAGCTGCATGCACAGGAGCTGCAGCCGCATCCTAACGCGGCAAAGAAAGTAGACTAACGTGTTACGGGTCAAAAAGATTGTCAATAAAGAAAAGAATTGGAGGTGAAATTGGTTCTGTGTGGCAGCACGATGCAACAACCCTTAAGGTTGACTGGGTTCGATGGATTCCATGGATATGGATCGAGATCGAGAAGGATGCACTGAAATGCACTGAAATGCACTGAATGGGGGCATGGTGGTCTTGGAAGCTTGGTGCGCCTTGGTCAAATTGAGAGAAATAGATGTGACGGAGGAGTAGTAAGGTACAGCAGCGGGGGTGATGGATGGAGGGCGGAAAAGTGGGTGGAAAGACCTGTGGCGCGTATCAATCGAGCTGGGACAAGGCAGCACGGCACCAATACTTTGCGTTTCATTGGAGGGGTTGAGGTTGACGGTGCAAGGGGGTGTGGTAAATGCAACAGCCACGGGAAATGGGCACGAACAACGCACCGATGGGAAAGGGGTGCAGAAGAAGCAAGAAATGGGACAGCATTGGGAGCTTGCCGCACAAACAGGCAAGCCCGGCTCATAAAAATGCAATGCTGTGCTAGTGCAAAGTAGGCCAGGACAACACAGTCTGCACGAGCAGTATGTGTGAACGGGCGCAACAGGCTGATGGCCTGAGCTGGCTCAGGTCTGTGGGGCCACATTGGCGCCGGAGGAGGCTCCGGCGGGGGCCAGCAGGCTGGGCGCGCCCTTGGCGCGCGCCTGCCGCTGCTGGCTGTCCATCAGCAGGATGTTGTAGTCAATGGCCACAATGTCGGGCAGGAAGGGGGCGGAGGCGTGGTTGATGTAGGCCTTCTGGATGGGGGTGGTGGCTAGCGCCTGCTCAGCAACAAACTCCATGCTGCAGCCATCCAAGGGGGGGTGGGGCAGCAGCGGATGCAAGCCGGCAGTGAGGCACCCTGCCTGGATGTGGACAGCTGGCCACCAGCCAGCTAACGGTAGGAAGCACAGCGCGCGCTGTGCACAGAAGCAGGACCAGGGCACCAGCGCCTGGCAGGCTCACGTGGCAACATATTCCTCCTGCACAGCGCCCGCAATGTGGCTGGTGATCTCCAGCAGCTGCGGCACAAGGTAGCGGTGGCGGCAGTAAGCTGGGCGGCAGCAAAGGCCAGCGCCACATGTTGTGTGCAGGCACAGGTCCGTGCCCGCTGCTTTGCATGCGCGCTGCTCAGCAGCAGGGGCTGCACAGCCACACTCCCTGGTAGCGGCCTCACCTCCAGCGAGGAGTTGGCGTTGGTGACGAGGCCCTCGGTGGGCTGCAGCGCATACTCCTGCAGCCGGCGCACCCATCTGGACACCCCCACCGCAATCTTGGCCAGCCTCTTGCTGTACGCGTGCCAGCTGCGGCGCTGCAGGCACCGGGAACGAGACCGGGCAGAGGAGGTTGGAGGCTGCGACATGTGGCCCCGCACAGCCGCATGGCCACCAACCCTCTGCCGAGGTGGGCCTGGACGATGCGCCCGCACGAGCGGCCCAGCTGTGCGATGCGCCGGCAGGCACCTCGCCGGGCGCAGCCCCCGCCCGCTCACCAGCAGCGCTCTCTGCGTCTCGTCCAGCTGCGGCAGCACCTCGGCCGCAATCTCCCGCCACAGCGGGAACTGGGCCGAGTTTTCTGGCAGCGCGGCGTGCGCCAGGTAGCACAGGTATGCCGGCTTCATCTCCCCCACGTGCCACCACACCTGCGTCATGCGCTCCTGCACCGCCTCCACATCGGCCACGCCGTCTGCGTCAAACCCCGAGGCCTTGGCCGCCACGTAGCTCACGCTCAGCTCCGCCTGCCACTGGCGGTAGTAGTCCATCTGTGGCAGCAGGGCAGCGGGGAAGGGCGGCTCAGCCCCACAAAGACAAGGGGTTCACAACGCTGCCTGCACACCCCCCCCTGCTTTGGCAGCGCCTGGCCACACACCAGGTGCTCCGGCTCGGTCATGGCCACCACGCTGGCCCTCACAGCCTCATCACGAGTGCTGGGGATGCTCTGCACCTCCCGCAGCGCGCTGCCGTCGAGCTGCGCGGCCACGCCCGAGCGGTGCGGGTCGGCCAGGTTCCACGTCACGTTCTGCACACTGGGCAGCCCATCCACAGACGCGCCGCTGCCGCTGCTGCTGGAGGCCACCGCGCCCGCCTGCTGCACCGCCTGCTGCGCCGCCTGCTGCTGCCGCGGCTGCTGTGGCGGCCCCACTGTGCTCGCATTCTGGGCGGGAGAAGCCGCATCCATCTCCCCTTCGCTGGGCAGCTCTTTGATTGCCTTGGCCAGCCCCTGCGCGGCCACCCTCATGGGAGGCGCCTGGTCCCGCTGCTCCAGGGAGGGCGGGTGCAGCGATGTGAAGGTCTGCAGCATGGCGTCGCGCACCGCCAGCACCTTTTCGTAAATGCGGTTCTGGCGCTCCAGCTGCTCGTTGTCGCCCTCCAGCTGCAGGTGGGCGGCGTGGCGGCAGCGCGGGGCGGCCAGAGCAGGCGCGGATCAGGGGCACGGCCAGTAACGTGCGCTGGTGTGCTGCACTGGCAACGCAGGGCGAAGCAGTGGGGATGCAACTGCGCCAGTGTGCAGGCCGCCCACGACACTGGGGACCCAGCACCGCACCTCGTCAATCTGCTCCTGCAGCACCGTGCACTGCTCCCCCGCCTGCTTCTGCTTCTCGCGCTGCCTGGCTCTGAAGCGTTGCTGCGCGGCGCGGTTCTTCTCCCGGGCTGACGCCAGCTTTGCGGCCATGGTTGCGGGGTCCAGGCGGCCGGCGCTCTGGGCGCCGCCCTGCTGGCCGCCGCCGCTGTCCAGGGAGAGGCTGCTGTGCAGCCAGCTGCCCTGCGGCTGCACCTGCACCACCAGCTGCTGCGCAGTCGCGTCGTGAAATTGCTGCCATGGCGCGTGCGGCTGCACCTCCTGCTGCCCAGCAACGCCGCCAACCCACTGCACCTGCTGCCCAGGGAACTCAGACACGGCACCAGGTCCTGGGGCATACAGCAGGCTGGGCAGAAGGCCGCCGCCCTCGAACCCCGCTGAGGGGCCGAAAGCGAAAGGGAGGCCCTCGTTCTCGTCCCGCATTCCAGCTGCGCCTGAAATACTGCTGGTGAAGGCGCACCAGGAAATGTAAACGGCGGGTGATCGACTGCACAGAAGATCGGAGGCGCGCTCAGGTCCACCCGCGTCGGCCCTGTGCATCCGCCACCTCAGCGCACAATTGCACCATTCAGAACCGAACGCATGCAGCCAGAAGGCATAAGATAGGCAGGGAGCATCCTCTGTGTGGCCTGCAGCCGCCCTGGTGCAGAATGGCGGCCCCGCCTCACAACGACGCCACGGCGGTACCGAGAACGCATGTAGTAGAAAGTCCTCGAGTTGCCCTGCACCAAGGGAACTAACATGCTGTCAGGGCTGGTGCCATCGCTACCTGGGCTGAAGCGTGCACGGGAACCAAAAGCCCTGGCACGGTGCCCTCGGGGCCCTGGGATTCTGACGCCGCCTATGTTGCATGCCATTTATATCGTATGATATTACAGAAAAATAATCCTTGTTCAATGAGGTCAATTGTTCAAATTGAAACATTGGGAGAAGACTCACAGCGACCAGGTGAAAGAATTGCTGTCAACATCACTCTTGCACAGCAGCACCGGCTGCCACCGCACCACAGCGAAACTCTGGCAGCTGCACGAGAGAGCGCCTCCTCCTCTCCTCATCGATGTGCAGCATCTGGAACACGATGGCCACCAGGTCGGGCAGGTAAGGCGCGGAGCGGAAGTTGACATGCGCCTTGAGCAACGTGGAGCTGGCCGGGAACTGGGCTGCCACAAACTCCATGCTGCACCATGGGGGAGAGCAGAAGGGGACACGGTGAGCGGCAGTCGCACTGCAGCCCCTAAACAGCTTGACTGGCAGCAGCATTCAAGAAGGAGGCATTGCGGTGCGGACCTGGCAACGTACTCCTCCTGCACAGCGCCCGCCATGTGGCTGGTGATCTCCAGCAGCTGCGGCACAAGGTAGCGGCTGCAGCAGTAAGCTGGGCGGCAGCAAAGGCCAGCGCCACATGTTGAGTGCAAGCACAGGTCCGTGCCCGCTGCTTTGCATGCGCGCTGCTCAGCAGCAGGGGCTGCACACCCACACTCCCTGGTAGCGCCCTCACCTCCAATGAACGATTGGCATTGGTGACAAGGCCCTCCGGCGGCTGCAGTGCATAGGCTTGCAGCCGGCGCACCCATCTGGACACCCCAACCGCAATCTTGGCCATGCGCTTGCTGTAGTTGTGCCAGCTGCGGCGCTGCAGGCACCAGGAAGGGCGGGATGCTGTGTTGTAAAGGCACACTTTGCTGCCTTTTGCGGCGTGACAGGTGAGGAGGCAATGTTGATGACTCACCACAATGCTGATGCTGCGCTCGTCTAACTGCTGCATCACCTCCTCCGCAATCTCCCGCCACAGCGGCAGCTGGCCAGAGTTCTCCGGCAGCGCGGCGCAGGTCAGGTGGCAGAGGTAGTCTGGCTTGAGCTGCCCAACATGCCACCAGATGGCGGTCATGCGGTCGCAAACCGCCTCGACGTCTGCAACGCTGTCCGCATCAAACCCTGCCACCTTCGCAGCCAAGTAGCTGGCTTTCAGCTCCACTTGCCACTGGCGGAAGAACTCCAGCTGCAAGGAGTTGGCGCATGCAACGCTTGTGAGTTTCAAGCAGGCCCATGGGCAGGAACATTAGGGGCAGATGCGCAGGTGGGAAGGCAAGCCGCTGCTGCACTCTGTGCTGGAGCCAGCCATCTGCAGCCCACATGCTTGCTGCCAATCAGTGCACCGCGCCCTCCCAGCCCTTCTGCTCACCAGGTGCTCCGGCTCGGTCATGGCTTCCACCCGCGCCACCACCTGGCGGTCGCTAGCTGGCGGAATGCTCTCCACCTTCCGCAGCGCACTACCGTCCAGCTGCGAGGCAGTGCCGGACCGGTGCTGCTCGCCCAGCGTCTGCTGCATGCTCTGGACAGCGTCCAAGGAGGCGCTGCTGCTGCTCGCCCCGCCGCTTGCATCACCGGGCAGCTCATCCGACTCTGCATGCTGCGCCGCTTGTTCGTCAGGTTTTGCAGCCGCAGCCGCAGCCGATTCGGCTCCAGAGAAGCGCGGTGACAGCTGCGACGGCGAGCCGTCACCATCCATGGGAGCGGCGTCATCCATCTCTCGCTCGCTGGGCAGCTCCTCCAGCGCCCCGGCCAGGCCATGTGCCGCCGCACACGCTGGGGACGGCAGCACTGATGGCTTGTCGGCGGGCGCCCGCTGTCCATGGCTGCTGGGCTGCAGCGAGGTGAAGGTCTGCAGCATGGCGTCGCGCACCGCCAGCACTTTAGAGTAAATGATGCTCTGGCGGTGGAGCCATTCGTTTTCCGCCGCCACCTGCAGCAGAAGAATGACAAAGGAGGGGCCGGCAATGCATCTTCATGTTGGTGAAATCAGCAGCAGTGTCAAGCACGAGACAGGCATGCTGCCATGAGGGCACGCCAGGGCCAAGCAAAGCACACCTCGCCAATCTGCTGCTGCAGCGCCTCGCCCTGCTGCACCGCCTGCCTCTGCTGCTGCCGCTGCCTGGCTCGGAACCTCTGCTGGGCGGCGCGGTTCTTCAGCCGGGTTGCTGCCAGCTTCGCGGCCACCACTGCGGGGTCAAGCTGCTCAGCACTGGTGCCGGCTCCGCTGCCAGGCAGCGGCAGCTGGGCCGCACCGACGGCGGCAGCGACGCTGCCGCCCACCCGCCGTCGGCTGCGCTGCAGGGCTTGCGGCTGGGCTCGGGGCTCGATATGCTCCCTCAGTGCTACTTCCTGCAGCTGCTCCCAGGCGTTCGCCGCTGGTTGCTCTGTCGAACTTGTGGTTTGAGAAGGGGGAGGCGGGGCTCCTCCAGCGCTCGAAAGCAACATGTCCAATTTCTAATTTGCACGCTGGAGGCGCCCCCGCTGGCAGCTGGCAGGAGGAGAAGAGGAGCTGCCACAAGTGCCACCCCGGCAGCCCCCCTCCACTGCAGCTGCTGAACAGCGAACTGTAACTGCAGTCGCAACGAAACCTGGTTCTGTCAGGCGTCTGACGGCATGACGAGAGGCTCAGCGGGACGGCATCCACCAGCGATGGTAGACCAGAGCATAAATGGGCTATCTTCTGGGATGCCATTCTTCACAGCAATTGGTGAGCAAAGGCGGCGTACCGCGGTGCAGGGATACTGCAGGCGGGCCCGCCCAGCATGGTTTGACGGGCCCGCGGGAGCCGGGGTGTGCGCACCCGCGGGAGCCGTAGGGGGTCTGCTCTCTATCCCTGAAGGTTAAACCACACCCCAGCTCAGGCTGATTGTTCTACCAAAGACAGGGATCAGGTGCAATGGCAAGGCAAGGACATCACTCTCCAACTGCGACTAAGAAAGAAACAGAAAGGCAGGTGTCGCTCACTTCAGCTTTGTCACAAGCCGAGCCAGAAGTCGTTCACAGTCACCGAGATATGATGACCCAAACAGGTTGTAATGATTCAACTGCACGGCAAAGGACACCAAAGAATGCGGCGGATGGACAACGCATGGCCCCCAACCTATCATGCGGCCCATCACAACGCGGTGACTGTATATGTAACACACAGCAGTGTGGATTGAGCAGCTTCAACAGAACACTGGTCCTCACCTTGTGGTACAATTCATACAGGTCGGCCCGCGTTTCAAACCCAGGAGCGCGCGGCAGCAGCTCGTGGTAGGCAGACCAGAATGCGCCACCAAAGCCAGCACACCAACTGTGGGCAGGCGGCGGGCGTCGATGGTCGGCAGTTGGACGTCAGTCGTGCGGCATTTGAACAGCTTTCAGGGTGCTCCTCCAACCACTCACCTCATCCCCCACTCGGCTTCGTGGTGCCCATAGTACGTTGCAGGATCAAAAATGCATGGGCGACCATCAACTGCCGCGATATTGCCGCTCCAAAGATCCCCTGAAAGCAGCCAGATCCCCTGAAAGCAACCCTCAGCCGCCCCACACAGCACAGCACAGTGCGCGCCCCCGCCCCTACACACACAGCCAGCCAAGCAGCAGGCAGCACTCACCGTGTAGCACGCTGGGCCGGACTTCTAGGCCCTCAAAGAAGGTTTCTAGTGCACACGGCCGCAGCAGCGGCTCGGCTAGCTGGTTCAGGCGGCTGTTGCCGGCCAGAGTGAGCTGGTGCCGCAGTCTGTGTTCCCGAAAGAACCTCACCCATTCGTTTTCCCAGGGGTTGGGCTGCGGGGAGCCACCAATAGTGTTGTCGCACGTAAAGCCAAACATGCCGGCGTGGTCATGCTGCGGCGTAGCCAGGTGCATGCGCGCCATCTGGCGCCCCAGCTCGGCTGCGGCAGGGCAGGGCACTAAGCGTGGGGCAGTTGAGCGGTGGGGCATATAGCGAGGGGATGCCGGTGTCCCGCGCTGGCGAGCCCATGGCAGAATAAGTGAGCTTGCTGTGATACGGTAGCTCAGCCGTACCGCGCATACGAGACTGAAAAACAGGCAGAAAAACATACACATGTGTACACAACTGCACCCACCCTGGTCGAAGCGCCCCCGAAGGTCAAGGTACTCCATCACGATGAAGCTGCCGCTGCTGCGCAGCGCACCACCGCCTGGTGGCGAGGACAACGCGCCATAGTGGTACACCTGGAGGGAAGGTGGTGGGGTGGGGAAGGATTCCTGGTGAGTGGCGCTGGTCCTGCTTCATGTGCTGGATGCCGGCGCAAGGCAGGCAGGCAGGCCAGGGTAAATAGCCCGCTTACCTCTGGCACGTGGATTGTGTTGGTGGCTGCGCAGCAGCAGCATGCCCAGCAGCAGGCAATATGAATGTGGGCGTATGACTGCTGGCTTCAACCCATGACACCACACAACTGGCTGCTGCTCGTGCTGATTGCCGCATGCATGCTGGCAGGCATGCGCCTGCCCCCTGGCGCCTGCGCTTGCCTCCTCCCCCTCGCCATCCCATCTCCGCATCTGCCCTCACCACTTCCTCCTCACCGTGCATGGCTCGGAGGCCCTCTGCCTCGCCCTGGAACATGGCCGCTGGGCCGCGCCCCAGCGCCGTCTTCACAAACAGCTGCCTGCCGCTCTCGGTGGTGTACACATAGGCAGAGGACCAGGAGCTGCCGCCTGCAGGCGGAAAGGAGGGCGAGAGGGTGTTGGCGCTCTGGGCTGGTGGTGGCGAGGGCTACTTCTGTGGCGCAACGCACCTGCAAACTTGGTGCCCGTGATCTTTCCCAAATCTGGCATGTTCTCTTCAATCCAGGCAGCTGCTCCATCGGGCTTGCTGCAGGCCAACAAGCCCAGGGTGGTGAACACGCATGCAGAAGCACCAAGGCAGCAGATGGCAAGTGGGGGGCTGCAACTCTGTCCGGCTTGCAGTACAAGGCCGTCCTGGTTGTAATTCATGCACAGTCGTGCAGAGACACCAAGCAGCCCATGCCAAGCAAGAGGCGACGGAGAGGCGGCGGCTGCGGCAGCGGCAGCGCAATACCACTGCATAGCAGCGGCTCACCTGGCATCGGCCTTCATTGTCACGTTGATCCTTCTGCGAGATCGGTGGGCCGCCTTCCGAGCAGGGGCTGCTCCCACACAGGCAGATACACTGGCATGAGACATCCCCTAAATGGGGCGCTGTGGACGGCCTCCTCAATTCCAACACAGTGCTGGTAGCGGCATCAAGGAAAGGAGGCGGGTAATTTTGATGAGGGGGGCATGGTGCCGACTGCTGCTGCGCTGGCAAACCACGGCCGCATGTTGGCCTGGTTCCGAGGCGGGGCCAGGCGTAGTGATCATTCGTTAGGAACAGAATTAGAGCGGCTGTGGTCGCTTCCTGGGCTGCGCAGCACGTTAGATGGTTGGCCGCGAATAAAAAACACCAACACCAGACATCTCCCGCTGCCCCCAGGACGCCTGTGCTTCACCAGCACAGAGACCCGATCATGATGGCTCTTTCTGTCACGGCCGGCCTGCCAATGTGCGGCCTGAGGAGTCGAGGGACTGCCCTACCCGTCACTCGCAGGTATGGCAGGGAGTTGCCCTGGGGCCCGCGATGGCTGCTGACCGCGCTCTGCAGCCCGTGCCGGATGAACGAGGGGCCATTGAGGACGCCCCCCCCGCCCCCTGTGCAGGCTCCGCCGCCGGACCGCGCCGCTGCCGGGCGGCGGGGCGCGGTGCCCGCCCTGCGCTGTTGCCAGCCCTATGGCTCCTATCACTGGGCTGGTACCTGCCGCCCCGCTGCCCAACCAGCACCTCATCCCCTCGGGGCAGCCTCCCAGCTGGGCCCACGGCCAGCCGCTGTGCGGTAGGCCCGAGCCGATGGGTGCCACGCTCGACCCTGAGACGGTGAGAGGGGCGGCGCGCCTCCCTCGCCTCGCCCACTCTGCCAGCCGCCGTGCCGCCTGCACGCAAGCGGCTGGCTCGGAGCCGCTGCACAGTGCCCTTCCCCACTGATTGGGGGGCCATGGCATCGCATGGAGCGGTGGGCGTGTGCGCTTGCCGGCAGGGGCCAGCCGCATCCGTGCTCCGTGGCTGCCTGTGCCAGCGGCGTGCGGCGCTCCACACGCCGCCCTTCCCGCCCCCCCTCCCCCACCTGGCGCTGCCCTCCCGCAGGGCGCCACCAACTTTGCCGTGTTTGCCTCCAACTCCTGGGGCGTGTCGCTGTGCTTGTTCACAGAGGCAGACCTGAGGGCGGGGCGGGTGACGCTGGAGGTGGCGCTCAGCCCAGAGGGCAACAAGACGGGGGATGTGTGGCACGTGGCGCTGCCGGGGCTGGAGGCCTCCCTGCTCTACGGCTACCGCATCTTCGGCTCCAACGACCAGCTGCACGAGGACAGCGAGGGCCAGCGGCACGACCCGGTGCGGGCAGCTGGGACACGGTGTCGGGCCGCCGGGCTGCCCCGCAGCGGCAGCCGGCCCGCAGCGGCAGCCGGGGGGCGGTACGGGGGGGCAGGCGGGCGCAGGGTCCATGCCAGCAGGGTCCATGCCTGCAGCACGAGCAGCCCAGCTGCGCTGCAAGCAATGGCGGGAGGGCTGGCATTCCATGCGGCAGTGCGTTTGTGGCGCGGAGCAGCTATGCTGCCTGCGCCTGCCCCTGGCTGCCGCTCTGTCGTTGAGCACCTGCCCTGCCTGCCTGCCTGCCTGCCTGCCTGCCTGCAGTCCCGGGTGGTGCTGGACCCTTACTCCAAGGTCATCATCAATGGCCGGCAGAGGTTTGGCGAGATGGGGCCGGTGAGCAGCGCTGCCTGCTGCCCCATGCCAGCGCGCCCGCGTGGCTGGATGGGTGTGCAGGGAAGGTGCCTGTCGCAGGCGTGCCAGCCTGCCCACGGCCTGGCCTAGCAGCGCCAGGCGCCAGCTGCGGGGCATGCGGCTGGCGCGGCAGCCCACACCGCTCCGGCTCCCCCCCATTCGCCCTCCCTGCCCCCTGCCCCCTACCCCGCGCCCCTCCCACCACAGGAGCTGGCCTACGACAGCCCAGACGTGCTGGGCCACGCCGCCACCTGGCCGCAGGCGGCGGCTGCGCTGCCGCCGCCCCCTGGCACCGCCGACTTTGACTGGGAGGGGGACCGCCCGCTGGGGCTACCCATGGAGGACCTGGTCATCTACGAGATGCACGTGCGCGGCTTCACACAGGGACAGGCATCCGGAGTGTCGGCGCCGGGTGAGCCGCCGCGCAGGCGCCGCATGCCCGCCCCCGGGTGCTGCACCCGGGGGGCGGTGCTGTGCGGCCCGGATGAGGCGGCAGCGTGTTGTGATTATGGGTTACAAAAGTCAGCCAGAATGGACGGCGGCTAAAGCCGCCTTTCAACACAGCGGCCTCGGCGGCGCGCCAGCCAGCCCAACCAACCGCGCCTTGCCCGTCCGAGCGCCTGCTTGCCTTGAACGCCAAGCCCTGCCCCCGCCCCGAGCGACGGAGCGCCTCCCCAGCTTGGATGCTGCCTGGGGCCCTCACCCCCCGCCGCCTCCCCACCTCCCGCCCGCCTGCCCTCCCGCAGGCACCTTCCGCGGCATCATCGAGCGCCTGGACTACCTGCAGGGGCTGGGCGTCAACGCCATCGAGCTCATGCCCATCCACGAGTTCAACGAGCTAGAGTATTACCAGGTGGGTGGGGGGGTGCCGCCGGGCTGGCAACATGCGCGCTGTGTGCGCTGTGTGCGCGTGTGCATGTGTGTGCATGTGCGCTGTGTGTGTGTGCGCTGTGTGTGTGTGTGCGCTGTGTGTGCGTGTGTGTGTGTGTGTGTGTGCGCGCGCGCGCGCGCGCGCACTCGTGCCGCGCAGTCCTAGAGAACAAGGCCGCGGTCCAGCTGCTGCAGCAGCAGCGCCAAACACGCCTGACAGCACCCGCCACCCGCACCCGCCATCCCTCGCCTCCCTGCCTCCCGCCTCCCGCCCCTCCCACCGCCCCCTCCTCTCCCCCTCCCCCGCAGATCATCCCCGGCACCGACGCCTACCGCTACAACTTCTGGGGCTACTCCACAGTGGGCTACTTTGCGCCCATGGCGCGCTTCTCGGCGGCGGGCGCGGCGGGCGCGGGCGGCGCCGCCGTGCTCAACGAGTTCCGCCAGATGGTCAAGGAGTGCCATCGGCGCGGCATCGAGGTCATCCTGGATGTTGTGTTCAACCACACGGCAGAGGGCAACGAGCAGGGGCCCACGCTGTCCTTCAGGTGCATGCCCGGGCTGCAGTGTGGCTGTGCTGCTGGCGATGGCGGCAGGGGCGCTTGGAAGGGGCCGGCAGGGCGGGCCGGCGGCGGCAGAAACCTGGCCCCTGCCGCCCTTTGCGGCAGCCACGCGCCCAGCCCGAGCCCGCCACCCATGCTGCCTCCCGCCCGCTCACCGGACCGCCCCCACACCGCCCCACCCTGCGCCGCGCCACGCCACCCTGCGCTGCGCCACGCCACGCTCCCGCGAGCCCCTGCCCCTGCCGCCCTGCCGCTCAGCCCCTGCCCCTGCCGCTCAGCCCCTGCCGCTGCCACCCCCTGGGCCCGCCCTGCGCCGCGCAGGGGCCTGGACAACCGCGTGTACTACATGCTTGCCCCCGGCGGCGAGTACTACAACTACTCTGGCTGCGGCAACACTTTCAACTGCAACCACCCCGTGGTGCGCCAGTTCATCGTGGACTGCCTGCGGTACTGGAGGGAGGAGATGCACGTGGACGGGTTCAGGTGGGCGCCACGCAGGGCAGAGGGGTGGGGCCGCCGCGCAGGGCTCCCCACACAAGTGCCGCGGCCTCCTGCCAGCTGGGCTGCCACACCCACACGCCCGCCTTGCCCGCCCGCTGCCGCCCCTCCTCCCCCTGCCCCCCCAGGTTTGACCTGGGCTCCATCATGACCCGCGCCCCCTCCATGTGGCACCCCTCCGACCCCGTCCCCCCTGCCGCCTACGAGAGCGACAGCGAGGAGGCGGCGTCGGCGGCGGCCGCCGCGGTGGCCGCCGCCGCCGCGCGCGCGCCTGCCGAGTCGGAGAGCGACGCCGAGGGCTGGCTGGACGCCGCGTCCGACGGCGAGGGCGGCGGCGGCTACGCGGCGGTCAAGTCCAAGGGCGCCATCGTGTGCGAGGCCGGCTTCATGACCGACGGGTCGGGCGTGCCCACCGGCACCCCGCTGGGTGACCCGCCGCTCATCGAGATGATCTCCTCCGACCCGGTGCTCAAGGACGCCAAGATGATTGCAGAGGCGTGGGACTGCGACGGCCTCAACCAGGCGAGCGAGGGGAGGGAGGGGGGTCAGCAGGGGCGGCGGGGGAGGCGGGGCGGCGCGTGGGCCCGCGGGGCTTGGCGCGGCGCCTGCGCTGGCGTGGGCTGGGCTGGGGCGTGCAGGCGCCTCCTGCGCCTCCCTGGGCGCCGCGCCTCGTCCTCCCCCACCGCCCTCCCCTCACACCCCCACCACCCCCACCGCCCCGCCCCTGCCGCCCTCCCGCAGGTGGGCGCCTTCCCGCACTACGGCCGCTGGAGCGAGTGGAACGGCCACTTCCGCGACACGGTGCGCCAGTTTGCCAAGGGCACCGACGGGCCTTGGGTGGGCAACATGGCCAGCGTGCTGTGCGGCAGCCCGCACATCTACGTGGCAGACCCGGGAGAGACAGACTGGTGGGTTGGTGGGGGGGACAGTGGGCGCCTGGGGTGCTGCCGCCGCCTTGCGTGTGCGCTGTTTGGTGCCGCCCTGCGCTGTCCTGCGCCGCGTTGCGCTGCGCTGAGCTGTGCTCTGCAGCTGCGGCCCTGCGCTGCACGGGCGCTTGCGTTGCGCAGGATGCCCGCCGGGTGCAGCGGCCTGCCCTGCCGCTCCCACCACGCGCCGCCTCCCTCACGCCCGCAGGTGGGGCAACAACTCGGGGCGGCGGTGGAAGGGCGGGCGCGGCCCCACCGCCTCCATCAACTTTGTGACCGCCCACGACGGCTTCACCCTGGCAGACCTGGTGGCCTACAACGAGAAGAAGAACCTGGCAAACGGCGAGGACAACAGGTGGGGTCGCCGCGCCGAGGGGAAAAAGCCTGCCAGCTGGCGCAGGCGCCGGTGCGAGCCGGGCGCGCCCCGCCTGCGCCGCCCCAGCCAGCCAGGGCTGCACGGCCCGCTGCCGCCGCCTCGCTCAACCCCTTCTGGCACCTCCCGCGCCCCGCCCCGCGCTGCCCGCAGGGACGGCGAGGCTCACAACCTCAGCTGGAACTGCGGGGAGGAGGGCCCCAGCTCCAGCCCGCTGGTCAACAGCCTGCGCCAGCGCCAGATGCGCAACATGATGACCGCGCTGCTGGTGGCGCACGGCGTGCCCATGCTGTACATGGGGGACGAGTACGGCCACAGGTGAGGGGGCGGGCAGAGCGGGCTGCAGGAGGGCCGCCGCGGTGCCCGGCAGGCCCCTGGCCGCCATCGCTGCCCCGCCGCCCTCCTGCGCGTCTCCTTGGCTGGGGCCACCCTGGCCGGCCCCTGCGCTCGCCCCGGCCCACCCCGCCCCCGCCCCTCCTCTCCACCGCTCCCGCCACCTGGCCGCAGCAAGGGCGGCAACAACAACACCTACTGCCACGACTCGCCGCTCAACTACCTGGACTGGCAGAAGGCGGGGGCCGACGACGACGGCCTGCTGCGCTTCACTCGCCACATGATCGGCCTCAGGCGCGCGCGGGGCGGGGCGGGCGCAGCCAAGGGGGCCCGGCCTGCAGCGCCCGGCGACGAGCCGGGAGCCGCAGGCAGCTGCTCGAGCAGCAAGCCAGGCGGGAGCCGCTGGCAGCTGTGCCTGGGGCCTGCCACGCGCGGCCGCCCTCACCCCCCCTCTCCGCTCCGCCTCGTCTTGCCGCACCGCAGGCGGAGCCACAGCGAGCTGCGTCGCACCACCTGGATCACGGACGCCGAGGTGCAGTGGCACGGCACCGAGCCGCACAAGCCAGACTGGAGCGAGACGTCCCGCTTCCTGGCATACACGCTGTCCAAGCCGGCCGGCGGCGGCCTCTACATCGCCTTCAACTCCAGCCACCTGGCGCAGGTGGGCGGGGGCGGGAGCGGGAGGGGAGGCGGCGGCCATGGCGGCGGCGGCGACGTGGTGGCGGTGGTGGGCTCCCAGCCCTCGCAGGGTGGTTGCCCTTTGGCTCAGAAATGCTGTGCACCGATGCCCCGCTCGGCCCGCAGGTGGTCCAGCTGCCAAAGTGGCCCGGCCGCGTCTGGCAGCTCATCGCCGACACCAGCAAGGTGGGGCCAGACGGCTGCAACCAGCCATCCCACCTGCAGCGCCCATCGCAGCTTGCCACGCTGGCCGCATGGCTACCCAGCCGGCAGCTTTGTTCATGGGGGGAATCTCACCGGTCACCCTTGGGGCCCCGCTTCGCCCGCCTGCCCCCGCAGGTCGCTCCCTTTGACGTGCTGGTTGCGGATGAGCGGCTGCCCGAGGAGGAGGTGGCGGCGCAGCGCGCGTCGATGGAGATGTGGAAACTGAGCCACTGCTACCCCATGCTGCCCTGGTCGTGCATCGTGATGGAGTCGGTGGCTGAGCTGGACATCCCGGGCATGCCGCAGCACCGCAAGAAGGGCAAGGACATGCACTGAGTGTGCATCGCAGTGCCAGCAGCCGTAGCAGCAGCAAGTGCTCCGCCCCTGCCGGTGAGGTTGCGCTTTTTTGGCCCCAGTCTCTGATGTTCTGTCCCGACCGCCTGTACAACGGTCACTGTACAAACCTGCTCCCTTCTAGCGGCCTCTCCCTCCCCATTTCATGTCCCACAGCATTAATTTTGCCCTCCAAACCTCTGACTCTTTTTGCCTGTCTGTGTTGTGTTGTGAGTCGGCCCAGTGAGTATGCTCCGCCTGGGGTGCGCCGCAATCATGCCACGATAACATGGCAAACACCCCTTGTTCATTCATTCATTTACTACTAAGAAAACGACAGCTGAGATGTAATACTATGGCTACTACTAGCAGTTGCGTAAGCTGCTGTTGTGTGTGCGTGGTACCGTCAGCCAGATGCCAGCTGGCCTCTAAGGTCATTGCTTCGGCTAGCATTAATCACTCATAAGGCCCAAAAGACAACAAAGCAGGAACAAATCCCCAAAAAGGGAGACCACTTTACTACAAAAAACTCAGTTGGGGTGGTCATGTTGAAGGGAGGGGGCCACGGGAGAGGGAGGGGCAGAGGTAAAACTAGAATAATCACTGCCATTGTGAGGTTGGAGAGGGGGAATCAAATGACCTGGTCACAGGGGCAAGCTCATTTAGCAAGCTCATTTAGCAAACTTACTCAAACTCATGAATGACCCGAGTAGGGAGGAGAAGCCACACTGGGAGGCTACGGTGGGCAAAGGCAGAGATGATAAGAGTGGCTGAGAATGGGAAAGGAGATGCGGTCGACGGATGCGGGCACAGAAAAAAGAGCTGCACATGGGGCATGGATGTGGCATGACGCAGTGCATGCCTATTCAACCTTGCCAATCATAATTCAACAAGCTAAAGTGCAGCGCAGCTGTGCCATGGGGTCATACGCAGAAATGCACTGGATGGGTAGGTGCTGAAAGGTGCACCACGTGGTTGATGACGGGTTGGTATTCAAGTCCTTCATGGACACGGCGGGCGGGCGTGGAGCGGCTTAAAGGCAAGACTCATCCCAGCCCTCAGAGGCCCAGCAGCTTCGGTGGCGGGGGCGCATTGGGCACGGCCGAAGGAATGCCGGCGCCCATCGGTGTGCAGGGGCTGTCGGCCTGCTCGTCAAAAAGCTGGTCAACCGCTGCGAAGTCAGACGCACGCGCGAGCTTGAGTCGCGGCAGCCAGCTGGGAGGGGTCATTGGATCCAGCGAGCAGGAGTTCTGCGAGTAGGATTTCTGCCAGGGGGTGCAAGGGATGCAGGCCAGGTTAGGTGAGCAGCAGCGGGGGCGCAGGGCGGCATGGCAGGTGGGGCACGCCGGGCCCCACGCCTGTGCGTGCCGAGTCTCCGCTCGCAGGCAGCGCTCAGCGAGACTGCAGCGCTCACTTGGGGGGCCTCCAGGGGCAGCATGGCGGCGAGTCGGAGGACCGTGGCGCGGTGCAAGTGAGTGAAGTCGGAAGGAGCTGCAAGCAGTGAAGCGCGACTGCCAAAGACGTTGGAGAGAGCAGGCACAAGATAAACGGAGACAGGGCGGGAGAGAATGCCGTGTTTGCGGCCGGAAGCGCGAAGGGCGCTCGGCGGTCACTCTCCCGGGTTCACTGCATGATACCCAAGAAAGTTCCTGAATCACGAGTGGCTGCCAGGGCCTCATATCTAAACATCGCCGCATCCCGGTGCGCAACGTAGCCCGGCGCAAACCTGTGCAAGGCCCACACGTGCAGGCCCCCCGCAGGGATCCCTGAAGGCCTTAGGCACCTGTGAACTGCTTCAATGTAGTCTGGAAGAGTGAGACGTGATTGCAGAGAGACTGTGGTGCGTCCCTACTCAGTTGCAAGGTGCCTCTCCCTCTCCTGCGAGGTGCACTCTTTCCCCGCAGCCGCTCCTGCTCAACCATATCAAGATGTGCAGGAAACTTGAGGCACTCGCGGAGGGGCGCACTCGGGGGGGCGCAGCTGTACCTGCGCAGTACACTCATGGCGGTGTTCCGCATGTCAATTCGTGAGGCAGCAATGCTGGAGCAATGCGGGATCTCGCCGCGCACAATTCGGAATGTGCGCTCTCTGTTTTTGTGACCTGTAGGTAGACCCAACTCGTCAAGGGGGTGGCCCCTTACTATTAGCGCTAGTCTGATTGATGAGACGCTCTACCAGCCGCCTCTATGCACTGGCGGGAGCCCGCGCTGCGCGCCACGACAGTGGCACTCTGACCAGCACAATCGGGCCTGTGCTGCTAGAAAACCTGCGCCATGGCGTCCAGCAAGGGCAGGAACAGGGCAGAGGACTGTCCGCTAAGCTGGTGCGTGCCGCTGACGGCGCCCGCCTGTGTGCTGCCGCCCACAAAGAACGGGCAGGGAGTATCGCAACAGGTGGTCACCAAGCGTGCAAATTGTCTGGCTGCCGCCCTGGCCGCGATTCTGAGTATAGGTCGCGAGCCTGCACCTTGCGGCCATCCAGCAGCACCTACACTATAGCGAGCGCAGCAGCAGCAGCCAAGGTGACCATCCTCACCCGCACCATAGCCATCGGGCTCCCTGGCTACGCGCCTTTGTGCTGGTGAGCACCACTGTTGCGTGCTCTGCCGTGGTGTCATGGGACTAGCTGGCTGCTGCCCGCTGTTCAGGTCCTGGTGCCGCTTCTCAAGATGTGCCCTGTGCGTACAGGGTGCCAATGACGGCCTCGTGTCGACTAGCAGTTTGCTGATGGGGGTTGGCGCAGCAAGCAGGTGCGCAGCTGTAGTTGCAGGGTGTAGCTGCAGGGAGCGACAGGCGGGTGGCCTGCTGCCCCAGAAAACACCATGCAGCCGCCGTCTCTGATTCATGCGCCCCAATGCAGCTTGCTTAGAGAGTCGCTGCCACCACACCCCCCCGCAGCGACCACCACACCATAGTTTTAAGCGGCGTAGCAGGTGGGAAGAGGCATGTTTCTCTTGCCGACCGCTGTGCCACCTGGAGAAGGCCCTACCGTGTGCCTCAGCCAGCCCAGCGCCTCTTGATCCTGCCTGGCCCCTTGCTCCAGCAGGCCTGGTTGGCGGCGCCCTCTCGATGGCGGTAGGGGAGTACATCTCAGTTAGCAGCCAGCGGGATGCGGAGGCAGCCGACGTCGAGCAGGAGCGGCTGGAGCAGCTGAAGGGGGCCGAGGCGCAGGTTGGAGGGAGGGGCAGCGCAGGGAAGGGGAACGGGAACAAGATTACAGTAGGTGGCGGGGGCTGAAGTGACAGTCGTGCCCTCAGCTGGCCACTCACAGCGTGCATTACGTAGATGCTAATCAACTTGGTCCCTGTCGGACGCCCTGCTTGCTTCCCATGCTGTGCAGGCTCGTGAGCTTGAGGAACTGTCTCAGATCTATGAAGGTCGCGGACTGCCGCCGCATCTGGCAAGATCTTGTTAGGCTTGCGTGATTGATGTGGCTCACCATCATACGATATGCTCCTGCACGCCCCGCTGCTGGGCTTGCGCGTTTCTATTGCTGCTGCCAGACGTACCAGCGGCATCTTGTTGGGCGTCGGCGATCATGTTTGACCCGTTCCCTGCAGGCTCGCCAGGTGGCGGAGGTGTTGACAGAGAAGGACGTTGTGCGAGCCCATGCCAGGGACGAGCTTGGAATTGGTGAGGTTGATCAGACACGGCTGGGTGGCGCGTGAAGGGGAGCGTGTGTGTGTCTCCTGGTACTGAATTGGTCTGGCCAGGCATGCCTTTTGACCTGTGGACACGCCCAGTGCTCTGCTGTCACCGGCCTGCAGACGTTGATCAGCTGGCGCGCCCCGTCCAGGCGGCCGTGGTGTCAGCGATCACTTTTTCTTTGGGGGCAGGGATCCCGCTGCTGGCTGCTTGCTGTGTTCCGGACTGGAAGGCAAGAATATTGGCATTTGGGAGAGCCAGCTACACCCATCCCTGCCACAAAGTTTGCCACACACACTGCTTGTGTATGCTGCAGGTGCGGATGGCAGTGGTCCTCGCATCTACTACTGTCGGCCTGGCAGGTTTCGGATCTCTTGCTGCATGGCTTGGCGGGGCCCACAAGATGCAAGCTGCTGCCAGAGTGGTGCTTGGTGGCTGGGCAGCTATGGGGCTTACCTTTGGAATCGGCACGTTGTTTGAAGCGGCATGAGCATGCGGGACCTGCTTGTGTTGGCTGTGTTGTGGCCTTCCAGCCTGTGAAATCGTTCGCAGAGCAGAGGTGGCCGCGGGAGAGCAAGAGTCACCAGCAGCGAAAGATCCAGAGGGAGGGCCCCGCCCTCCCTTCAGCCCCTACCGTTCTTGCAATCATCAACCCTCCGCAACTTATGCCCTAGCTCAAGGCGCGTTGTAAAGGCCGCCGAACCGTTTGGGTGTCTACGGGTGTCTAACGACACTTATGATAAGCTCGGTGAAACTGTTCGGAAAGCAATCATGAGCAAAGGCAGCCACCCCAAGCACAGGAGATGTCTCCTCTCTCTTCCTCTTTCGTGGGTCAGCTCAGCCGACGTAGGTGGGTCAGCCGATCTTTCTGTCTTCCAGGGCTGCCGTTGCCCATTTGACCGCTGCCTTTCTCTCTCTTTCTCCGCTCTTTCTGCTGAAGGCAATCACGCCTTCACGCTCTCCTTCGTTTCAGCCACTTTGCACACGCGCCTGCCGACTCGCCGCTATGCTGCCCCTGGAGGCCCCTAAGGTCAGCGCTGCAGTCGCGCAGGGCGCTGCCTGCGCGCGAAGACTCCGGTGCTGGCCCTGTGTGCCGGCCGGCCCATGCCGCCACATGGCATGTGCGCCCCCCGCTGCGCTATCCCGTTCAGCTGTCCCCATCGCTGCTACTCAACGCCTGGCCTGCATCCTGCACCCTCGCGCAGGAACCCTACTCGCTTGCTCCAATGACCCCACCCAGCGGCCTGCCGACCATCAAGCTTGTGGCCGTGGCCGACTTGGCGGCTTATGACCAGTGGGTCGATGACGAGCCCGACAGCCCTTGCACGCCGCGAGGCGCCGGCACTGTTTGCGCAGTGCCCAATGCGCCCCTGCCACCCAAGCTTCTGGGATCCTGAATGATAGTCGAAACCAGCTTGTGTGGCTGCACCACGGCCTTCCTTGAAACCAACCCCTGAATGTCAAATTTCCATCATCTGCTCACCCAATGATTTTCTGCCTATCAATCCAAAAACACCCGCCGTGCTCTCCTTGAAATCAATTCCCTCAGCCATTTGCATGTCTTAATCCCCGTACGCCACAACTCCCCGTGGCGAACCTGAGTTTTTTCTATCCGGTGTTTTTTTTCCAATTATTTCGTGTCCAGAGCATTATTCACCATCACGACGAATTTCCTGCAAAGGTTGATTGAGTTCGCTCCGCGGTCCCCCAGCACTGGCAGTACTGCCTTCTGCGGCCTGCATCTGCAGCAATAGAGCAGGCAGACTTGCATGCATTTTTTCCTATTATCCTTTTGACAAGTAGCAAGTATCTCTGTAGTAAACAAGTATTATGTGTCACAGACAGAGACAATGTGTGGCGGAGTACTGGGCTGAGCTGGCGCCGCCGCTCAGCCCAGTATGGCCATCCATACTCTCCATAGAGGCAGCAGGCAAAGTGATAACTGTCCAGATCTATCGAGCTCACACAGCACAACTCCTACAGAGAATGCCCCTCCACTGCGGCGTGGTGGCTCGCTCCCCTGTGGCACCAGGCCCACTTGCAAGAGCAACAGGACCTCGTGTGCAACTGCGCCTAAGCTCAATGCGCCGAGCCGCAACAGGCATGGCCGGCTGTGCCTGGGCAGACGCCGCGGCGGCAACTGGTGTCAGCTTTGTGGCGGCGGCAGCTCTGCTCCTAGGGGTGCCGGCCGCGCATGCTGCAGCTGATGCGCAGGCTGTCTTTGAGAAGAGCTGTGCGGGCTGTCACAGTGGAGGGGGCAACATCATCAGGTAGAGAGGCACTCGCTTGGTGTACCAGTCTGCTGGCTGGGCTGCCCCTGGCTGCCGCATGGCCCCACCGCAGCCATCCTTGCCTGTACATTCCAGTGATTGTGCCCCATCCCGCCGAGGACTGCAGGCGGGACGCCACCCTGCAGCTGGGCGACCTCGAAAAGTATGGGGTGGCTGACACACAGGCGTTGTACACCGTCATCTACGGCGGGCGGGGTAGCATGCCCGGGTGAGCCACCGCCCTCTGATGTCGGTGCCTTTGCATCATACCCAATGCGTTTTCTCACCAGGCACACGTGGGTTGTTAGCACGCTGTCCCCGCACATGTTTTGCAGGTTTGGCCTGGATTGCGCTCCCAAGGTGCGCGGTCTCCCTGTGCATGCTCTGCCAGGCAGCATTCAGCATGTGCTTGCTGAATATACTGTGTGCCGCAGCATCACCCATACTGTCAGTGCTGCGTCGTCTGCAGGGCGCCTGCACCTTTGGCCCCCGTCTGGCGGACGAGGAAATCAAGGCGCTTGCCGAGTTTGTGCTGAGCAGCGCTCAGAGTGGGTGGCAAAAGCCTCAGTGATGAGTGACCCTCCGTCGTCTTGTAACAGTCGTCAGAAGCCATGGCTGCTGCGGTATGAAGGGCATGGCGGCCCGCTGGCCTGCCGCATGTGTTGCCCGCTGATGTGGCACCTCCCCCGATTCGTCTGGCTCATCAGGCACGCTCTCTCCCGCGATCCCTCCCTTTCCTTCGCCTTTCAGAGTCTCTAAGGCTTCTATTTCTCCCCTCCCGCACCCCGCAGCTGCCGCAAATTTAAAATTATGAACCAACCTGTCATCCTTTATGCCTTAGAACGGCGCCAAAACGGCGCCAAGAATGTGTTTCTCACTAAGTCAGATGTAGAGGGCATCATCCGGATCAAGCAGGGCGACCAGCAGGCGCCCTCAGGCCGGCGGCGGCGGGGTGCGGGAGGGGGGGCGGCAGTGCAGGGCGGCGCCAAGAACTACAGCAAGAAGGTGCTGCAGTTCTTCCAGGTGCTGAAGGGCGCTGGCGGTCAGGACATCCTGTGCCGCTGCGTCAAGCGCAGCGGAGAGTGGCGGTGGTGCCCCGTGGTGCCGCTCGAGGAGCTGCCCCGAGTGATCAAGGAGCACCACGAGCGGGCGACTGGCTTCAGCGGTGTGGAGAAGCTGTACACACATGTGAGTGATACAAGGGGTGCAATGATGCCGCCAGACCAAC